TATATATATAAATATAAATATATAAATACAATATGTGAAAACATCTTCTTGGTTTTTATTTTGAAACAATTTTTAGGCTTGTTCCGGGGGTCTCTGTGCTGCCTGTACTGTATTGACCTGTTTTATAGGTGCCTTTTTATTAAAAAGAAAATTCAAAATGCAACCTCTTGCCTTTTTGCTTCCGTATCTGCTTCACTGCCCAGCTTGCTGTTGGATGCTGGGAGAAGAAAAAGGGGACCTCAGGGCTTCTCCATCAGTCTGCAATGAAGGCACAGTCCCTGGAGCCACAGCACTGATATACCCAGTTCCTCTCCAACCCACCCCTAAATTTGGCTGATGGATTTGAGTGGTGCTGGGTAACCAGATTAGTGACTGGGAGGAGGAAGAATTGCCCGCTAGGCTTCCTCTAAGCAGGTGTGGAGCAACTTCCTCTGGTTCCTGAGTAGCATCCTCCCAGGGGCAAGGCACCACCCCCCTGGGGCTTGGGGACTTCCCTGCCCAGATCTGTTTCTCACGTTGCCCTGCTTAAAATGATACCATGGGTGCAAAGCTGGATGAGATGACTTCCGTAGATCCCTCTCAGACTGTCATGTCCCCAAACATTTTTGCCGCCATTCTCTTAGTTAACTGCCCCTCTTTTCTGAGGCCAGGACCCCTCTGCTACCGTATTTTCTATAGCCCCGAGGATTGTGGGGGAGGCAAATTGACTTCCTTCCCCATCAGTGCCCAGAACCCACCAGGGCCCTGGATCTCATCCCCTTGGCCCACCTGGCAGCTTTGGTTCCTGGGCAGAGAAGACAGCTGGGCTTGATTCTTATTTGCCCCCCTTTGGGGTCTGGGAAAGGTATCTTTTCATTCCTCCACTGGGCTGCTCTCCTGCTGGCTTGTCCTTTACTCTTCTTAGGACAATGGCTGGCCTCCAGGGGCTCTTGGACTGTCCTCAGCCTGCAGTCCAAGATCCAGTAACATAGAGTCAACCTAGTACTGGTTTGAATGGAGCCAGGGCAGCTACCCGCAGTAGATCAGTCTCAGGGCTTCCCGCTCAGTTAAGAGGACAGCAGCCTTTCAGGGCCTGGCACAATCTCTGAGTTTAGGAGACTGAGACGTATTAAGGCCACACTCTGCTATCCGGCTATCCCTCAGTGGTGTAGGAAATGTGGGTAGCTGTGATGGTGTGCAAACTTCAAGGGTGTATTCTCATGGAGTGTATTCTAAGAGGGGATTCTGGGGATCATACTAGGAGGAGGCTGTAGACCACAGGCATAGATGGTTTTCCCTATGGCCAGGGCAGAAGTAAAACTGATTGTTAGCTGGTTAGGATCGGAGGTATATGGAGTTCTTTCAGCGTAAGGCAATGCGGGTGATCTAGATAGCCCTTGCTTTACCTTTGGGCTGGTTTATCCTCTCTGGGCTCCAGTCTAGCCTGAAGCGGGCTGAATAACTTAGGGACATCCTAGAGAGATGATTGGTTTGTCTATCTGTCCATTTGGGGATACTAGTCAAAGTAGCTCTTAGAACCCCAGCTTTGGCTGGAAGGGCTTCTAACATCACTCCATATCCCAAAGGAAAGCAGAAACAAAGGTGGGGCTCTGGGACCTAGAAGGTGGTGAGGGAGGTGGCATTCTCTGACTCAGAGAGACTGCTCTTACGCCAGCTGGGAAAGAGCTGGCATAGGGAGGCTGGGCCAGCACAGCCCAGCTTGGTCAGAAGCCGAGACAGGTCATTGCGGAACTTCACTCCTGCGAAGGTATAAAGCATAGGGTTGAGGCAGCAGTGGGCCAGGCCCAGGAATTCACATGTGGTGATGGCCACGGGGAGATAGCTATTCATCTTGCAGCTGTTATCCACAGCGTTCAGCCTCTCCAGTGTGTCTAGGAAGATGACAATGTGATAGGGTGACCAACAGAGAAAGAAGATGCTTGTCACTAAGATGGCCACTCTGACTGCCTTCTGCCGCTGAGGGCGCCGCTGGGCCTGGCATAGCCTGTGTACGACCCCCACGTAGCACCAGCCCATCACCAACATGGGCAGCAGGAAGCCCCCAATATGGTAGAGAAAGCGGGAGGTGTACCAGGCTCTGGTTTCAGCTTCGTTCTCTTGGGAGAACATGCAGTGTGGCAGGGAGTCATTGTTATAGGGTTGACTGACCTTGGCAAAGAGAATCTCTGGCAAAGCGAACAGGAAGCCAGCTAGCCAGATAGTTGCACAGGTGATATGGATGGAGAGGAGGCGACGGTGGCGGTAGGCATGGACAGCGTGGACAATGGCCTGGTAACGGTCCACAGCGATGCAGGCCAGCAGGAGGCTGCTGCAGTAGAAATTGATCTTGTGCAGGGAGATCACGGTTTTGCAAAGGAAGGTCCCTAGCACCCAGCCCACCCAGCCCTCGGCCACAGCAAAAGGCAGAATAAAGACCAGTAGAAGGTCGGCCACCGCCAGGTGGAACAAGAAGGTCTCAGTGGAATTCCGTGTCTGCCGATGTCGCTCCAGGATCACGAGCACCAGGATGTTGCCGATCATACCCAGAAGGAAGATGAGGCTGTAGGCCACAGGCACGAACACTGCCTTGAAGGAAGTGAGTAGAGGTCCCTCCACTGTGGAGCAGAAGTGACTCTCTAGCACGGGGATCTCTGTGCTGTTAATGTCGATGGCAAATGCCTTGTACTGCAGGGACGAGAAAGAAGAGTGAGGAATGGAGGCCTCTCCCAGAGAAGCCTAACTACTGTGGGGATTTTCCCTGTCCTTCTAAGATGCTTTTGTCTCTGCACTATTTCAGTTTCTCTTTGTGTGTCATTGTACAAATCATGCCTTCCTTCCTTCCTTCCTTCCTTCCTTCCTTCCTTCCTAGGGAGAGAGGGGATGAGGGAGAAAAGGGGGAAAAACATCACATGGATGTGTATACTTTTCAATATTTATTTTTATGAGTCTGGAGAGATTGGTTAAGAGCATTGCCTGCTCTTGAAGAGGACCCAGGACTGGTTCCCTGCACCAACATAAAATTTATGCCTTCTGGCCTTTGTGGGCATTGCATTACACAGGGACATATACATACATGCATGTATATACAATAAAAATAAAAATAAAATAAAAATAAATACCCCCCCAAATTAAGATTAAATAAATATTATTTATATTTTATGTGTGTTTTGCCTGCATGTATGTAAGCTCACCAGGTACATGAAGTATCCTTGGAGGCCAGAAGAGGGAGTCAGATCCCTCTGGAACTGGAGTTATTAGCCATCATGTGGGTGTTGGGAACCAAACCCTGGTCTTCTGCAAGAGCAGTCAGTGCTCTTAACTGCTGAGCCATCTCTCTAGCTCCATTTATTTATTTTAGATAGGATCTGTCTATGTAGCCCTGGCTAGCATGGAACTTACTATGCAGGCCATGCTGATCTTGGACTTTTGGTGATCCTTGTGCCTCTCCTTTCTGAGTGCTGGTATTTTAGGTATATGCCACCACGCCCCCTCCTCCCTTTTTTTTATTAGGGGTGAGGATGGAACCCAGGGCTTTGTGTGTGTGAGGCAAGTGCTCTATCATTGAGCCACATTACTGGCCCTCAACTTCTGTTGTTTTGGGGTTTTGGTGGGACCATGCTGGTCCTATTGTTTGTTTGTTTTGTTGTCTACAAAAGGGACTGGGTCAGTGGTAGTGATGAGGATGAAAGGAGACACATGATGTGGACATGCTTTGCAAACTTAGATGACTTCTGTCGTATTTATGTGTCCTTGGGTGTGGAAGGCTGCAGGCCCAGGGTCTGCTATCAGTAATGACATCTGGGATATGGACCTGATTGGAACAAGAAGCCAATATTCCAATTCTGAACAGAAAGTGGGGGAATAAACCTAGGATCCTGCCTGGGGGAGGGGATGGGTGGGTGCTGATGGTGCTGGTTGACTTCCTCTCGATTTGCCCTCCTCTTCCTGTCTTGATTATTGATGAAATTAAGAAAATGGCCTCCCATCTGTTTTAATCCTCACCAGCACGAGGCATGAAATATTACTCTTCTTTTATAAATATGTAAATTGGTAAACATCAGACTGGCTTGAAGCCATGTTTACCTGCTTCCAGTGCCAATTCCTCTACCACTGAGCAGGACTGCCTGGGCTTCCCTCCGAGGGCTGCTGGGAGAGGGGCAAATGGAGAGCTTCTGGCTACTTCCCATCCAGAGAGCAAACTCCTTAGGAGCCCAGCAGCAGAGAGCCCAGAGGCAGAAATGAGTCAGACCCAGGGAGACCAGGCTCAGAGGAGGGAGGGAGCTTGTTCTGAGTGGAAAAGAAGGGGGTGTACCTGCTATGTCTCCGGAAGTTCCCTCCTCCCCATCCTCCTCACCTCTCTGTCACCACCCTCCATCACCCCAGTGCTCAGGTTGTTTGCTAACGGCAGAGGAAGACAGGGTGCCTGTTTGCGTGCCTTTCACTCACAGCTGCCCTGCACCTGTTCTTCCTCACCTCTTAGCTCTGTTCTTCCTGCCCTCCCCTGGTCAACCACCTTCCCGTGCGATGCAAAACCAGTTACACCCAACTGACTGTGGGTTCAAAAGACAATTAATTATATAAATGACAGGCCCCAGGGAGGCAAAAGATGGAATGGTTGTTCTGTCTCCTAGGCTCTGGGTAGTCTCATGCTGACCCTTTTTCAGGAGAGTAAGGGTCTCCTGCAAGCAGAGGATGGTTTGCTGGCTATCACAGAGCTTTCTCACCACCCAGGGGTCCCACTTGTGGATCACACACTTACTTCCAAAGGTGGGAAAACCTATTCCCCATCTTGGTCTTCTGGTCTCTGGAGCAGGTAGCTCTGTGAGAAGGGGGTGGGGACACATGGATGCAATGGTAAAGCCAGCTACCACCCCCTCAGTAACACTTCCTCCTTCACCTCAGTCCTGCCTTTCCACAGGTCCTGTTCTTGTCAATTTCTCTATTCCTGTCCACTTCCTTCACAGAGAACAGTGTGAATTTTCTCATTCACAAATTCCAGCTTGGTGCCATTCAGGAGGCTGAGATGGGAAGATGGCTTAAGCTACAAGTTTGAGATCCATTATCAACATAGCCAGATCCTGCCTCAAAAACAAACAGAAATCCCCCATAAATCCCATAGTATTAGTGTCCTGCTTAAAGTTCTTTTATGGCTCCCCAGAACCTGCACAAGGTAGTTTTATTTTTGTCTTTTTTCCCTCTCCAATTTCATATTCAATAGCAAAACAATTACATGAAAAAGTCATTTTTGTGATAACTTTCATCATCAGAAGGATGAATTAATCCAAAATCCTTGTTTCACATAGGATGCCACATACACTTGGAAGGAAAGGAGATTGATGGCATGTTGTGTTAGGGAAAGATATTAACACACATGGCTTAATTTCAGAACCAATGATAGGGTATCTATACAACATGAGGGCCCAGGATGGTGTGCATATGCCAGGAGACCCTGGGGTTGGGGCTCCAGGCACCTTTCCTTCTTGTTTTTAAACTAGATCTCTTCACTATTGACTATGTGGTTAAAAACACATAGACATTAACTGAGCATGGTGACACACGCCTATTACCTTAGCACTGGAGAGACAAAGGGAGGTGGATCAGAAATTCAAGGACAGTTTCAGCCACACAGTGAGTTCCAGGCCAGCATGGCCTGCTTGAGACCCTGTCACAAACAAACAAATGAACAAACAAATAAAGGGCTGGGTGTGTAGCACTGGGGTAAAGCACTTAACTAGCATGTACAAAAACAAAAAGACTTTGCTTAAGGAAATCATCCTATAGTCATTTGAAAACAGCAGATCTGTGAATAAAGTCTCAATGCCCCAGACAGAAGGCCTTTAAATTTCTTTAAAATGGGCTGGGGTGGAGCTGGAGAGACGGCTCAGTGGTTAAGAGTAGTGACTGCTCTTGCAGAGGACTCAGATTCAATTCCCAGCATGCACATGGTGGCTAACAACCATCTATAACTATAAAATATTTTTTAAAAAATGGGCTAGGGGTGTGTCTCAGTGGGAGAATGCTTGCCTACCACATACAAGGCCCAGGGTTTGATCCCCAGCAATGCAAAAATATAAATAACTAAATCTCTCTAAACTGCATATTCCTATGATGTCAAAATGTATCCACTTAACTACACTCCAGGTATGCTTCTGCCAGCTGCCTGTCCTCAGCGTTCCTACCACCTTCCTGTCATCTTTATTTAAACTCTTCCTGTCTTTCAAGTCTGCCTATCTAATCCCTGCCCTTCCTTCAAGGCCCAACTCAACCTCCTCTTCCTATATCCTTCCTAGCTCCTTCTGCTTGGAATTACAGCCTGGCTAGGGTTCAGCAGGGTCTCACATCTCCTTTTTTGTAAATCCTGCCTCTGGAACCTCCCTTGGTTTCTCTGCCCCCATAGGGAGCGAGTTCCAATAGAATTGTTGAATATAACCACTAAACTCTGAATGCAATGTAGCAGGAGGTGGAGGGGAAAGCTGGGGTGAGCAGTTTCTGTTCAGCAGAGCACAGCATTAGACAGAGGATGGAGATGCAGGGCCTGGGGCAGGCAGGAGGCTGGACTCCACCTACTTTGGCAGTGGCTAGAGCCTGGCTGCTCCCCTGCCCAGGAAAATACTTGGGTCTAGTCAGCTTGTCTGGCTCAGAAGCTCTTCATGAGATCTGTTTGAGTTTTCCCCCCTCCAAGCATCTAGACTGTGCATCTTATCCATTTAAAGTCAATTCAGTGGGACATCTCCCCAGGGACAGGTTTAGAGGGAAGGAGTCTATCTCATGCCAAGAGGTATTGGTTTGATAAAGTGCTCAGAAGAGGGGATGATGGGAGGAAGCTGGTTTGGTACATGTTAGTAGGAGGTGTCAAACAGATGTTTTTGGTCTTAGGAGTGTTAAAGCCACTTCCCATACATGAGAGCTTGGGCACTCCTCTCCCTAAAATCATGGAGAGAAGTAATAAGGTAAGATTGGCTCAGGCCTAGTGGAAAGATGAAGAATTATTGTTCTGAGCACAGCCGGACTATTAAAGGGAGCCCACCCAGACTAATGCCAGGGAGAGCACAGTGTCAGCAATGGGATGAATAGTTCACTCATTCTTTGCTATAAAAAGTAGCAGAAACCCTCACGTGTACCCCCACTGTGCTAGCAACATGCACCATATATAGACACAGACATGCCCAGATGGGGCCATACCACCACACTGCACAGGCAGGTACCTGGTAGAGCACTACCAACTCATAAGCCAGGGACTTGTGCCCCATGATGCTTGGAATAGCTTGGAGCTAGGAATGTGCTTAGGAATTTGCTATGAGCACTGGGGAAGGAGGCCAGGTAGCTGGTATTAGGAGTGGGGTAAGGAGATGAGGTTGAGAGATGCAGAATGCTCCACCCATGATGGGAGCCATATAAGACCTGGGTCCCTTCTTGGACAGGTAATGTCTAAGTCCTATGGATTTTGTCCAAGTACTGAATCTGCCTTGCTGTCTCAAGTTGTCTAGCATATAGCTCTGCTAGGGTTTATTGACTGGGATTTTCTGACAGCAGGTGTGTGTGTGTGTGTGTGTGTGTGTGTGTGTGTGTGTTTATTCCTCAAGAATCTACCCTGGATTCTCTCCTATTCTTTCCTAGCACTCAACTCTGCCTTGGATGGGGCTATGGCTGGAGGATACTTTGAAACAATGCAGTGTCTTCCATAA